AATTCCCTGTCACTTGGCTGCAAACACGGTCGCCCCTCTCACCGGGTTGATTCTCCTGCTAGTTTTAGTCACTGTGAAAAGGGGCCTCCACGCTTTGATTTTCAATGAGTCAGGTGTGACTGAATATAAAAGCAGCCATTAGAGGCAATGAGACTTCAGAGGCTTGAAAGTCCCTGAGCGGCATTAAGCAAGTTCCTCACAAGTTCATCGCGTTCGGCAGTCTGTTCAAAAAATAGAAGGAGAGCGGATTTGGGATTGATGTCATTACTAATATGATCCTGTCTGATTTGATATGTATTTACTACATATGGTTCCATTTTGGCATATGAGATACTGATGGCGATGCTGTCAAAGAGGTTTGGAGAACGCATGTGGTCTATATGACGGCAAAATGCATTGTAAACTTGACATTTAATTCAAACTAGAGGCTAAAATTTTGATGTTGGCTTGAGAAGCCTGAACCTTGAGCCCTTGAACTTGAGTTGCCTGAAGCAGAGCTGCGACATATGGCCATCAATTCACACCCATGGCCACCATGTAGCTACACCCCCACAAGACTATTGCTCTGAAATAAGGTAATCAGTTATTTTCAAGTGATGCTCACTGCAGAGCCAAATGACGTACAGTTCCCCCTCTTTGGACGTAATGGGCGGAGTTTGTCTTTGTTCAGCCCCACCTTTGTGGATCTAATGGGTGGAGTTTTGTTTTTATCGAAAGGGTTAGGGTGTGGTTGGACCGCCTAGCTCCACCCATTACATCCAGCGACAGGGAACTGGACATCGAGTTCCACCAATTGGCTCTGCAGCCTCTCATTACTTTGCTACTTTATTTAGAATGAGCAGAAATCTGTAAGTTATCTGTAAATTATAATGACCAATAGGCACTAAGATTACATTTATTTGAAAGCATTAGTAAGAGAACGCTAGCTTGCAAGTCTTGGCTTTACTTACATCAATAACAGAAAGAAACACATACTAATTGTGCATTGAGAATTAGGTAAAAAAAAAAAACATGCACATGGCCAGCTTATGGCCTGGGTCAGAATATGGTAGGGGCCAGAATTTGGCACAACACTGGCACTTCTAAACTGCAGCGTAGCTACCCTCGCTTTTTCTTGCATATTTCTCACATGTTGCTGGTATAGTATATGTGATTACCTCAGTCCCATTTAAACCTCATATAAAACGTAGGCAGGCTTCAGCACCTCCCCGTCTTTAAATCAGCGATATTCAGCATGTTCTTCAGTCCACAGCTGCGCAGAGCCAGTGTCAGAAGCAGAGAACAACCGCCAAGGTGTGTGTTTATCGATAGATGGTCATGACATAATAATTTCGGGGCGTGTGTTATGTTAAAACTTTTTCACTGAAAAACTTTTTCAGGGCGTTTTCACACCTGAAAGTCCGCACCAAATTCCGAACCGAACTTCAGGTTTTGATACATTTTCTACTTTCAGAAAGTTTGGTTTGGTTTCCACACTGCAATTATGCGAGCTAAAGAACGTTACGTGACATACTTGCGTCCTGTCGTCATCATCTATGGGCTGCATCTTGACATTGATTGTTTTTTTAAATGGACGTGCGTCTGACGTCAGCGTGTTGTCAATTCGGCGGGTAACTTTGACAACATGAATGAACAGACGCATATTGTTGCAACTATATTGTTATTTTTATGGCATAATTACCTGCAGCACCAACTATACACAAGGCTAGTTCACGCCCATTTTACTGAAGATGCATCGGTTGGTAACTTGTGTCAACTTGACGGCAGAAATATCCCAGCATTCAATTCGGCATTCGAGGAAGGAGAGGCAGGTCAATACAGAAATTTGTTTTTCTACAATTACGTACAGTATTTTATCACTAATTTCACTTCTAAGAACATTTGATGAGAGAAATCAAGTGTGTAGATTTCAAATGTTGGTATTTTCACGAAAATATATGGCGAATCGAAGTGTGCTCAAAAGTTTTCGGAAGTGAGAATCTCCATAAGCGCCTGCGGAACATCTGGTCACCCTATGTGGCGGCGCGCGCGCAGTCTCCACTCGGAAGCGCTCTTCTATCCCCGTTGCGGACTCTCTATTCATTAAATAAAAAAATATTCTATTCAAAAAAATAAAATGTACACAAACTTAGAAATGTGTACTTACTAGTCCATCAACAAGATCGTCAGGTCAGCATCACTGTTGCATCCAGTGCTGCTTTTTAGCTAGCGCCAACGAGTGAAAAGCCCCATCTATGGCTAATCCAGCTTATATGGCTAATAAAGCTAATCCAAACAAATGAGTTTTTAGCGCTGTTTTAAACTCAGATAGAGTGGCTATAGATATTATATCGAATAGATATGAAGGTACAATTCTTGCATAGTGTGCCTTTAAAACTGGTGAAGTACTGGCAAGATCTTTGATTAAATGGATTTCGTTGCTGTACTTGCCCGCTAGCCAGTACTTGTGACGTCAGGTGCAAAGTATGAATACTCTATAAGCTTCAGTCAATGGCTGCAATGTAAGAAGAAACATTTGTTTCCTTGCTAAGAGTGGTTGCTAAGGGTGTTGAGTAGTGTGATGCATATAGAACCGTCGGGTGAAGTGGTTGTCATGGCCGTGTTTTATTCACGAATAAGCAGATCCTATGTGGAGTGGAGAAGCAGGTATAGGCTACAATGTTTGACATCCTGCTAGCCATATGATACAGTTGGCATAAGTTTTTATTTTATATTATTCAAGCTATCATTCGCCAGCGGGCAGATTGTACATATTCAGATTTCATCACACGATGGAATAAATGTCACTTTGTGTATAGCTAAAAACATTACCAAACAGACTTTTGATTATAAAGATATTCCTGTTTTTCACCTTCCATACCGCAGTGTTGTTAACCCATCCACTCTTGAAAAAAGATCTGTACTTTTGTAGGCTTTCATTTTTTTTTTTGTGCAGTGTAAGGTGACGGATTCTCTATAAGATATGTAAATATATCCAAACTCCAACATATTTAGACATATATGGTCTACTCTAAATAGTTCATTGATTGCAGTATTGGAAATTAGCAAGGCTGCAACCCCCTGGCTGGCCCTGTCGCCATTTTGTCAGCGTTTGTTGCCCGCCAGGTATCCATAGTCACATGACTGCAAGGTGTGAATTGCGAGGGATCGAGTACGTTACGTATTAGGGAAATTTCCTGCGTTTACAGTTACATAGCATTTTCCTTCAGGTCAATCCTATATTTGTGATAAAATACGTTATTTGAATGTCCGCTGCAATATCATGAAGGCTACTTTTTTTGCACGTTAGTCGGTGTTTTGCTTCAAAGTGTTCACAAGTTTCAGTCCTTTCAATATAGAAGTCTTATCTACAGACAGACTCACTAAAGACAGTATTTGCATTTAATGGAGAAATAAGCACTGTTCACGGTTAGGATTAGGAATGATTTTAGTGATTTTTATTCACTTTGCATTGATAAATCTTTTTGGCTTTAATATCTTACATTGTGCGCGCCTGTGCGGTAACCGTTTTATAAAATCAATAAGGCAACTTAAGGTTACTCGAGGCTAGTGCTGTATCGTGAATGACTCAACGATACAATCAACCTCTCGGTAACTTACCGTGTATTGCTTATAAGCTTTTTATCGATATCGAGGATTGTAAAAACTATTGTAAACTATATGTTCAAAATTGCTTTTGCATGGGCTTTTCTGGTATATTTGCTTTTAAATGTAAAAAATAATATCATATTAAAAAAAATACAGCATGGACATATGGATATAAAAATGGAACATCGGAACATGAAACATGGAACATGTTTTACTTTTATTTCTATATGCTATGAATATGATTTGAATGGCTGCATATTTGACTTCAAAGCGTTATCCTTAATGTAGCCGGAAGTGCTTTTCTAAATTGGTCAACAGCACCATCTAGCTGAGACAACAATTACTTTTGGTGTACTACACTAAGGGCCTATAGCACAGGTGGAGTCCTTTTCTTGGGACAGAAAAATAATAATATAGCTTAAAACTAATCTGTGTCAAAGTAAAGCTACTGGTATTTCTGCCACAGCAGGCACTTGTGCTCCAATGTGGTGGACCATCTAGTTAGATGGTATCGTCTATGGTCAAAGCTATAAAGAAACATTTTAAAGGAGTCATACCATGGTGACATTACCTAGAATTCAGTTGGCATGGCATCCAAGAACATTCTGATGCTGTGTGCTCAGAGGGAGATGGTCTATTGTCCCTGGTTTGGCCTTCAGGCGCTGACAGTTGCTCTGCTTGCCAAAATGGCATCTAAAAGACATTGACAGTGGCCTTCTTCACCAAAGCAGCAATTTCATGAAATTATTAACAGGAAATGGAACTCACATGCTGGCCAGTGTAGCTCTTGTGTTTGTTTTCTCTTTGAGACCTTAGCAAAACAGAGGCATGTAAAATATGAAAATCCTCAATTTGTACAGTATCATTTTGGCAGCTCAAGGAAATGTTTTCAAATTGTTACTTTCTAAATATGCCATTACATCAGCTTTTACCAAATTGTTAATACTTTACAATAACATCCCTTTTATCAACATTAGCTAATATTAACAATGAGCAATATATATTTTTTTGTTAGTTAATGCAAATGATTAACAAGATTAATAAATGATGTAAAAGTACTGTAATTTTGACTTAATGTTGGTTAATGTTATTAACTGCTAAATGTATTAAATCTTATTGTAAAGTGTAACAACAAAACTGTTACTCCTAAGGTCTAAAAGCTAGTTAGAATTCACAGTATATTTGATGATGCACAAGAACCACTTCAAGAGTTGCCCCCCTCGATGATGCAAGGGGGACTTTGCCAAAAAAAAAAAAAAAAAAGAGAACCAATTCATAAGTTTAATTACTAAGCAAAAATAGACAAAAAAAAATACCAATCATGAAATATGACAGATAAGAGCTCAATGACAATATCATGGGTATTCAACAGGGAAGGTTTTTTTTTTTTTTTTTTCATGCAAACTCTTCACTTCAGAAACCGGGAGTATCAGATACTTGTGAAATATTTTCTTATATAATATGATCTATGACAAATGTGTTTTTTTTTTATTGCAATGGCACTCTGCATGCAACTGCAAGATTCTCACGAGAGGTAACGGATAAACGAAAAGCAAAGATGGTCATTTCCATAGGTAATTGATACTTAATAAAAAGTCATCAAAACTCTATGAAGGCAATTACTCCTTATAAACAGGTTTATATGCTTTCCTCAAATTACATTCAGAAAGCTACAAAATTATACTAAACCAGGTAATGAGCAAGGCTTTAGTGCATGGACAAAATAACATCTATACCATGCTCTATAGGTAAATAGCATGTTTTCAAGTGCTACTGTATATTTCTTATCACTAACAAAGCGCGTTTACTCTTTAGGTGTAAAAAAAATCCTTCATACGACCCACATTTAAGTAACTCCTAAATTGGGGAAGTGTGTTTATCCTTAAACTGACAAACTACAATCTCATCTTTTTCAAACCTTATTTGTTGTAAAAACCACAACTACACTGAAGTGCTAGGGCTAACTTACCCCTCACTGTGTCACTGAAGCCTTTAGTTCATAACTAACTACAGTAATTGTTTTAGGTGTGATGACTTCATTACGGTTACAGACTACAGTACATATTTGGGATGTGCAGGCACATTCAACTGTAAAACTAAAATGTTTTAGTGCAGCAGGCTGGTTGAACTAAGCACAATGCAAAAAAAAAATATATGTATATATAGTGCAGTTCAAATGTTATGGTCTCCAAAACATTACCATGGGCGTTAAATATGAGCAGAGGCACATAAACACAGCCCATCAGGTGTCCTGGAAATGGCAGGTAAATACTGGTACCAAAGAAAAACTGACATTTGGCGGATAGACATTTTGTAAAGCACATATTCTGAAAAAGTGGAGAGTTCTTAAAAACTATTGAAAAAGGTCACCATATCCTACAGCACTGAGCCACTTCACTTTCACGGCACGTAGATACTACAGGTAGCTACGATTTGAGAAATTCCACATCCTACAACTGAAAAAGAAAAAAAGAAAAAGCAATTGTAAGGTGCATTGTGATGAACTGCTCTGCAGGCAAACAAACTAGAACATACATTGTGCTCATTCTACCTCAATGCGAATCTGATTACCTTGCAGCAGGATCAAATACTGATCAAATTCGTTGACAATATGCAAAAATACAAACTGTTTTCAAAATAGATTTCAGAAAATCATTGACTGTAGATTTTGTTTTTGTCTGGCACTGCATGAGCTAAGACATTGTGCACACATCAATTGTCTTCCTCTTTTCATAGATCACTCAAATCCGCTGTAAGTTTCAAAGATATCAGGGGAAAGCCAATGACGATTGCAATTGCAATGCTTGACTACATGTGTCATTCTGATTGATGGATTCTGGGCTTTAGTTCTCAGATGAATTTCCTTTGATCATTGTTTTTTGGCAAATCATGAACAACTGCAGTACTGGCTCCTTTACTTGGCCTCGGTTGGCATTTTGCACATTACAAGTATCTGTTTCAAAGCCTTTTGCACATCTTCATCCATCTGGCCCTAAAAGGAAAGTTTTCAGAGATTAAAAGTTATATTCTGAACAGTGAGAAAAAAAACTGAAATAATTCCATAAAATAATACACTATATGTTTGAGAATAAATACAATAGGTTTAAATAAACACATAAAATAATGTTATATTTTTGTAACAGTGGTTGACATTGCATTATCTTGTACACACTGTAACAAAAAACTAATCGGAAATCAATACAGACCTGGACAGCATAAAGAAGGTGCATCCGGTAGACTGAGACAATTTCATGATGGTGTTTCTTGGACTCCTACAGCACAAAAAAGCAAATACTGAGTTTGCTTCTGTTGCAATTTGTTCAACCTTTTTCATAAAATGACTGGGCTAATAGCTCCCCAAAAAATATTAAGCAGCTCAACTGTTTTCAACATTGATAATAACAACTGTTTCTTGAGCACCATCAACATGTTTGAAAGAAAGGCTCACATGACATGCTAAAATTGTGTTAAGTTGTAATGATATTTTATAATAATACAGTTTTACTGTATTTTTGATCAGATAAATGCAGCGTTGGTGAGCATGCGAAACTACCGACCCCGAACTTTTGAACCGTTGAGTTACTATCGTTCCTATAATAAAACAGAACATTAGATTCCTTGCTAATTTAGGGCAGAACAAGCTTAGTAACATACAGAAAGCTGATATTGCAGTTGTTTGATCTGCTGCTGGAGCGAGTCCACCTGCTGGCTCTGTTGTCTCTTAGGGGTGCTAGTGGTGTACGACAGCTGTGACAGGCTGTTCAGGGCATCCTTCAACTTCATGATTTCCTTTGAGAGCTCGTCAATCTGTTGATAATAAACAAACATGACACATTAGGTTTTATTATGACACATCTGCATCAATTTAGACTGTGTGTGAGAGAATCAGCACCTTTTTATTCTTCTCTCTCTCTGAGATAACATGGTTCTCAACCTGCTTCTTCAGCTGGACAATGATGTCCTGAGCCTCCTTGTACCTGGTATTCAATGCACTGCACTCTTGCTCCCTGCAAACCGCCAGCTCCTGCGCCGCTTCTCTCTCATTCCTGCCGTCCCTCACCTCCTGCCAAGCAGCGGTCACCTCTAAGGCCATCTCATCCTGTTTCCTGAGAGCATCCTTCAGTAGGTGGTTCAGGTGACTTATCTCACCCTCCAGTGTCTCCCTCATCTGCTCATATTCCTGCCGGGATAATGAATCATCTGGAGTTACATCCTTCTCAACTGTCAGTCTGTTCTGCAAAGCGTCCACCTGCAAGGTCTTCTGGGCAAGCTGCTCTTTAAGAACTTCAACTTCCAACTCTAGGTTCTTGATAGCGTTCCCCAAGGATGCCACGACCTGTGTGTGGTCTGCAATGGCTACAGACGATTGAGCTTGGTTTTCGGCATCTTGTTTAACTTGCTCTATTTCTTTTAGCGCCGCTTGATGCTTAGCCTCAGTGTCCTTCATAATGTTCTGCATGTCTTTCATCTTGAACGTCAGCTCTTGAATTCTCTGCTCATGCTCCTCATTGGTAACACAGACCACGTCAACCTTGTCCTTAGGCTCTGATTCTTTGGCCAGCAGCTGGTTGCGGGCAGCGCCGAGCTCGCTTTTGGCCTCGCTGTACGATTTTGAGAGCTCCAAAAGCCGCCGCTGCAGCCCATCGATAACCTCGCCAAGCTCTGCCTTCATCTCCTCAAAGTCTTTGGCAGCAGCCTCCACTGGTACAGTGCCACGAAGGGCCTCCTGGAGCATCTTGATCTCTTCTTGAGACTCTTTGTACTTCTCAATCAGCAGCGTCTTCTCCTGGTTGATGTTCTCCACTAAAACGTTGTAGGTGTTCTTTAGTTCTTGGCGCTCAACTTCGGATAGGCTGACACTTTTGAGCTGAGCCTGAAGATCCCTTATCAAACAACTATCTTGCTTTTGCTCCTCCTGTGACCTGGCCAACTTTCCCTTCAGTTCTTTGACCTCCTGCTCCAGGCAGCTTTTCAAATACTGAAACTTCTGCACCACATTGTCTTCTTGTGGACTCACAGAATCTCCCCTCAGCTGTAACTCTTGCAAAGATTCTTGGGATTTTTGAGTATCTTCATCCATGCTTTTAGACGCAACTTCAATTTTCTCAAAGCCCGTGTTTATTCTCGCCTGAAGGGAGTGGTTTTCCATTCTGGACTCCAGAAGTTTAGCCTGCAGATTCTCCAGCGCATCCCGTAGCAGTCTGATTTCTTTATCTGTACTCAACCTCACATCCTCCTCCATATCATGTTTGATTGAGGAACTGCTAATGTCCAGACCAGACATCTCTGAAAGATCCTCTTCATCCGTGTGGATGTGCACGTCGCTGGAGAGCTCAAAATCAGCACGGGTAGAGTGGTATGAGGCATTGGATTCGATGCTGTTTGGACGGGAATTTCCATGGCCTTCCTCTCCTTGAGGAGCTGGACGTTTCTGTTCGGTGAGAAAAGATAAATGTTCTTGAAAATCAAGATAATGACTTGCAATGCACATCTTTATTTCCATATAAATACAGGCAGTACTAATAATATGAATACAGGCAGTACTGAACCAAACTCAGGCCACTGACTGTTTGACATGGCAATAGTTGTTTGTCATGGCAATACATTGCAAAACTTTTTTTTACAGTAAGTTACCTTTATTATTTGGGCAAGCTGCTGGTTTTCCAGGGAGAGAGAAGCTATCTTTGCTTGTAGGGCTGCAATCAGCGACAAATTTGCATTCTCAGACTGGTCCATCTGTTTCAAAAGAGGAGGACATCGAGAGATCATTTTACAATATCCTTTTTATTGGGCTTTAGATATCAAAATCTCACTTGAGACCAAAAAAAAAAAAAAACTGATCCCCTGCGATCCGTCACTATAATAAGAGAAGTCTTGCGGGCCACCACAAAATTTCCATAACATAAGAGGCTGTTTTGAAGAACACCATTACTGAACACAAAACATAGTGTCTCTGGATTTGGAGATTTTCAATCCTTTCTCAAGACTCTGTAAGGTCACGTAAAAAAGACCCCTGGGTTTGCGTCACAAGTCGAAATTCAAACAGAATGCACAAACTTAAACAAAACTCATCCGCAAGTTTGAGGCCAAGACTGGTGGCATGGATGAGAAGTCTGCTTTTGTGTCCCCTAAAGCAAGGTCCTTCACCTGGCCAGGGCCAGTAAAAATGCAGCTGTTAAAATGGGTTCCAGAGAGCAAAAGTGGCTGAAGATCAAAGCAGCTGCCACATGAAGGAATATTAAAGGGCTGTGCGGTACTCGCCTTGGGCTCAGTCTGCTCCACAATCTGCTTCAGATCTTCAATGGTCTCAAGCAGCATGCTCTTTTCCTCATGCAATTTCTCAATCTCATCCTTCAGTACATTACTTTTCAGCTCCTCCTCCTCAACAAACAGGAAGGGAAGAACTCCAAGTTAATCAGGTCATTAAGTAATGAACAAAATATAACCGTAACATGTCTATGGATTAGGTATCTAACACAGCAGAGTTTACGCTAGAAAAAAAAATGGTGCTGGTCAAAGTGACCAGCAGAGGTTTCTTTTTACGGACATTTTGATGATATGCCGGTCAAATATCGCCTCTTAATTAGTCAAGTTGAGGAAAACTGGAGGCAGGCTAAGTAACTTAAAAAATGACATAATCAGGCCATATACAATGCAACATGGTATTATTAGTCTAACTTTCAAATAAAAAACAAAACAAAAAAAAAACATCCGATTGGCGTTAATCAACACCAATTGTTTTTTACAATGATTTCACACACATTCACCTTTTGAAACGTTGAGACACAGATGTACCTAATTAGAGACCATTTATATAGAGACATGACACTTCCTCAATCCTTAATACAAATGTATAGGGAAAACCCGTAACACCAAAGATGGCGGTTCTACGCACATGTCCCGCCCCTTCCGCTGGACAGCCAATCGTCTGCTTTTAACAGTCAAGCCGGGAAACATTTAAGCCTATCTTCTGGTTCCACCGACGAATGCGTAAGTACAGAGTCAGTGTTTACAAGTTGAACGCATAGGTTGAACGTGCAAACTAACTCAAACGCCATTTACAAAAAAGGAATTAAAAGGTAAAACAACGATGTCGGACGATTTTGATTCTGTACTTCCGGCTACGTCGCCCGTGACCTTTTGAACGTAATTACGTATTACGTGACGCTACAAACGCGCCTCACAGAATAGAGCAAGGCTAGCATTTGTCCTTAGAAAAGTTACATTTTTGGAATAAGTTTTGAAATAACCGATCGTTTCACATGATAAGACCCTTATTCATCGTCTGGTGTCGTTTAAAAACATTTGAAGCTGCATCTGAAACTGTTATTAACTGTCTTTTCGACCTTGTACTGTCTGGTTCCCAAGCAAGTCCATTATATGGAGAAAAAATGTTTTCATCAAAAACCTTAATTTCTTTTCGACTGAGGAAAGAAAGACATGGACATCTTGGATGACATGGGGGTGGGTAAATTATCAGCAAGAGTTTTTTCAAAAGTGAACTAATCCTTTAAGTGATTTGAACATTTTCTTTTCGTCAAAAACCGAGCAAAAAACAACACTCGGAGATGTTTCTCCGCCGGCCGCCGCTCTGCATACGTCATCTCCTTCATCGCTCTGATTGGTTTTAGGTCTACCTGTGACGTCCGTTGGTGACGCCCCTCTGGAAATGATTTGTCTATGACGCTTTGCCAGACCATAACTCAGTTACAACTGAGAATGGTCTGGTTTTAACCAGCCTAGAGATGTTCCTGATTCACCATCATCCGTCGCGTCTGGCCTCTGAAAATAGCTTTTAAGGCTAGCCTGCCTAGGCCTGGCCATATTTAAAATGTCTCACTCAACCGTTCATTGTTTAGGTCTATATTACAGCCGTTTTAGGCGTGTGCTTTATTTGAAATGCAGCATGCGATGTAGTTTAATAACTTTCAAATGGTACAGCCTGTTCCTTTCCTTTCATTTTTTTCCCGGTCAATGTCCAGTAATTGCTGGACAACGGTAGTTAGTTAAAAACTATTTTTTTACTAGTTACAAAATTAATTTTTAGGATATTTTTATTTTTTATTGTTAACAATATTATAATAAATAATAAGGCATAAATGATTACAATCAATATTATAATATTTTCTCGATATACATACTTTATATATTTTATTCAAACTAATACCCCTTAATGCTCGTTCCATATTTTACCTTGTAATTGAATCTTTTGGATGAATCACTTTTGCTGGACAAAGGAGTATCAGTTGGTGTAAAATAAGGTGGTGAGATGATACCAGCCGACTGAAAAATAAGACAAAGGCGAGCGTAAAAGTGAGGCAGTGAGAGCCAATATGGATACAGAAAAATTTGTTATCAGATGAATATTCAGAAGTAATTGCATAAAGAATTGCATCTAAAGCTTTTAGAAAGTGCAGAGATCATTACCGATTACAGATTCAGCACTGTGTGTCATTACCTGGATTGGGCTAATGGGAGGAGGAGGTGCTTTTCTCTTTTTGGGAGTGGAGCTTCTGTCCTCATTTAACTTTTGACCATGCTGAGATTGTGTGCGTGATAAGAAGAGTGGCAAAAAGAGAGACAGAGAGAGAGACGAAGTAAAGTGTTTAAGTGGTTAGTGAAATAAACACTGCACACTTAGTTTGGGAAAAGAAGACTATCACTACAGGGTGAGGCAAATGCCAGTGCAGGTTTCTAAAAGTGCATTGTGGAAATGTTTGTTAAATGTAAAAATAAAGGAATATTCAATCAAAACTCCAGGCTTGAGGCTGACAGTTAAAATGTGAATTTAAATTGTCTATGGAGCAATTTTGCAGGTTCTGTAAATCAAAAAATTAGGAAAACCATCAAAGTCTGAGGGGATGAAAAGTAATGAAATGAAAATGAACTTGCTTACCTGAGGGGTTCTCACTGAATTCTTATCTGCTCATGCAAAGACACAGGAGGGGAAAACATGGAGTGTGGTTATGAGGGGAACATGAAAATGGCATGACATTGCCTGGTGCTAACATTAGTTATTCTGTCTTAATCTTTCCTTTTTTTTAATTATTTCGCAATCAGATCTGAGAAATTTTGCAAAAAGTTGGATGTGTGAAATCATGAGGTTTGAAAAAAAATGAAGAAAAAAAATACCACTAGATGGCAATGTTGAGCCAACAAGCTGTGTGTAATTGAGGACAGAAAAAAAAAAAACAGAATTTAAAATTTAAGGTAATGACACATGCACAAATATTTGGATCAATTATTTATAGTAAATACTGCAATATTCCCCCCAAAAAATTGTCAATTTTGGAGAGGATTATGACCATTGGTATTTTAATCAAAGCTAAATTGTTTAAATTGGCATCACACTGATATTCACTTTTAAAATGACCTGATTCCGACTGCTGTCTGTGGAGGGCATTGTTGAGAATGGTTCGGACCTCGCTGTTGCCAGACAGTTTGGCGTAACGGAGCGCGTCGTGGCCGAGCGAGTCCACCATGAGCAGGTCAGCTCCCCTCTGCACCAAAATCTCGACAGCGGCCGGACAACTGCTCTCACTGGCAAACATCACTGCGGTTCTAAATGGATAACAGATGTTTTTTTCATTGATAGCAAGTACACATTAAATTGATCAAAAGCGACAGTAAATGCATTTAAAGCAAAGACAAAAGATTTCTATTTCACATAAAAATGAAAGAAATTCTGTTCTTTTGGAAATTCCATTCATCAAAGAATCCTGAAAAAAATGTAAGAAATGTTTCTTGAGCACCAATGCAGCTTATTAGAATGATTTCTGACAGACTCTGAAAGACTAACGAGTAATGGCTGCTGAAAATTCAGCTTTGCCATCACAGGAATATTTTTCAGCCTTGGTGACCATAAAATGCTTACCAAAACAAAACAAAACAAAAATCATATTGATCCCAAACTTTTGAATGATAGCGTGTTCCGTCTAAAAATAGATTATGTTATGCACAGTTAGCATTCCAATTTAGTTTACTCAGCTAACTTGACACTTTGTGATAGCAGGGCGTAATGTTTAAATTGAAAAACTTTACTTTTTGGCAGTCTCAAAATTGTGACTGATAACCAGAAACATACCTGCCATTTTTGTCTCTAGCATTGATGTCAGCACCCCAGTCCAATAAGCTCAGGCAAACCTCTGCGTGTGCATGTCTAGCTGACAAAAGCAGGGGCGTTAAGCCGTCCTAAATGGAAAAAGAGCTTTAAATCAACATAATTTTCCTTCAAATACCATCCTCTGCATGTTAAGAGGCTACGTTATAGGAATAGATAGTACATTAGACACAACAGGCAACAGCGAGACAGTGAAGACACTGAATTATCATCAAAATGTAATAGAGCTTTAGACATCTAATATCAACAGAAGTAAAACCTGATGCATTCAAATCAACATGATATTAAAGTATAGGTGAACTTCCCCCTTCTTTTTTTAATATCCTTGGGCAAACAATCTTCCCAAAGAGTTCACCACCTCCTGCAAGCGACCCCAGAGGTCACAGGGGGTTCGGCTAATTATTCCAGAGCGAGAGAACCTGACACCTCATCAAAAGCACATTTAGGATGACGAGGGTGAATTTGAGCTGCAACCTGAAAATTACACCACAACTCTGTACAGCACTTCAATGCATTTAGGCTTTCTCATTTAAAACTACAACAACAACAAAAAAAGAGGCTGTGGATGCAAAACATTGTGAACTATACAGTAGTGTTTTCAGTTCTGCTGACATTATGGTATATTTGAATTATTTATAGAGAAAAGCACCAAAGTTGTATTTTTTTTCTTCAGGAAGCAAGAAGTGCAGATCTAGACTTTCTGTGGGAGCTCACAACATGGTGCAGTTTTTCCCTGGGAAGTGTGAGGAAACTGAGACTGTGTTGATGCTAATTTATGGTACAGACACAACCTTTATGCAGAAGATCTTAAAGGGACAATGTGTACTTTTTTATGTATTTTATTATTTAAAATCTATATTTTTATTCAGAAATATGTCCTCAATGGTGTACAAATACCTCTGCCAATTATCTGAGTTTCCTCGTGAACAAAGAATTTATCATCTTTATATACATGGGACAGGTAGGTTTACGGAGGCTTCCATGTAGTTCCGCCATCTTGAAAAACTACAACAGCAGAGAGGGACAAAAAGTACTAGGCCAACACGTTTCTACAACGCACTTTCGTAACTGAAAGCAGCAGAAACGGAGGAGCAGAGCAGTGAGAGGCGAGTTTTCCCCCGGCAAGTTTAAAAGGCTGCATTGCAAATCCTCAGCGCCGGAAAAGTCCAAAATAGATCATAAAAGGATACATGACAGGAGATTACAAAAAAATACGAGTTAATATCGGGAGAGCTTTTTCCAGGTGGATATAGCTAATGCTGGAGAAAGATTTCAAAAGAGACGCTGTCCTTCTCTCCTCTCGACAGGTAAGTCAATGTTACATTCTTAATTACAAGCTTTTTTTCATTGTTTGGTTGTGTATTCTATTTTATAGACAGATGAACATTAATAGATAAAAGTTGATGATAATATCTAACAATGCACTTGTGTTCTTCATAAAATATAACGAATAAAGAAGGCATAACTACTTATTACAGTAGTTCATGTTTTTCACAGTCAGTAATTCATACTGGAACATTCGTTTGTTCGTTGTGTTTGTTTGAAATAGCAAACCTGTTCACCTGAAGGAATACTTGAAGTGCTAATAGAAGACGTCATAGCTTTTTGGTACATAATGGCAACCGTAGAAGCAACACACATTTGAAAAAGCGAGGCGCTGGTGAGCACAATTTGTTTGAATGCAAAAACACATTTTCGCTGCTAAATGGGAGAAATTCCTACAGATTGTCCCTTTAAAGAGTAACTAAACCCTAAAACATTTTTTTTTTTTTGTTAATGATCTGTAAGACTGGGGCTTTATTAATGCTGTTCATTGATTCGAGTAATTGTTTTGACATTTGGGAATAAAGTGTTTTAATTGTACAATATATGGTGTAAAAACTTCTGAGTGCTGCCCTCTTCAGGTTGAACAGTGGCTACTGCAGTTGAATTTTCCTATTGGGAGTTGTGGTGTCCTGTGATGTAAGCAGGCACCAGCTAACCACACCCTTGCCTACAGAGAGACCCGTCTCAGGAGCATGCCCAACCTCCCCCTCTCCCCCCTCCGCTGGGCTCTGCCCACTTTTCGGCATTTTTCAAATATTGCCAGATGTTTTAGATGTTTTTCAATTTGCATCTTAACTGGCAAAAGCTTAGTCATAGCAGTCCAGGAGGTGATTGGAGCTCATATGGCATCAAGCAGAGAAAATTAAATGATTAAATATAATCCTACTGTATGCTCGTGCGGTTTCTTCCATGGCATGCATTGAAGACAAGATTAAATTTAACAAGCTAACATTTAAGACATCTGGAAGGTCAGGAAATATTATAACTACAGTTTATACAAACAGGAACATCTTTACATGCCTAATATATGAGTGATGAAATAATTGTCTATTTTGTTTAGCTATTACACATCCCATCAACATTTTGAACATTCTGGGAGTGACCTTTAAGTCAAATTACATTTTCTAGGCAAATTATGGTGAAAATATAATTGTTCAAAACAATTTCACAAGGCCTTTAAGTTGAGAAAAATAAATTCTCTTCACATAGCAAACCACAACGATCCCAATTAATTAGTTTATAACTGTATTCAGCACTGATAAACAGCAGAAGGCTGCTGTGGAGAAAGTCTGTTTACAACATATACCTCATGGGCATTCACAACTGAGCCAATTATGCAATGGCTGGGTCAGTTTAAAAGAAACATTAGCTTGATTGTAGGAAAATTGATTGATTTGGTTTGTTTACATAATGTCTTAACATAAAACAGGTTGTGAGAAAATATTGTATCTAACAAACCATTGTATAAGGTGTTGCTCAAAGAAAGCCTGTAAATGTCCTCAATATTAACTTCTTCAAGCTAGAAGATCGTAAGCTGTTGCAATCACAAAAGGAAATACGCAAAGAGGTACAACAGCTTGTCACTTCTACAGTACCTTCAAAGGGACATAAAAAAAACTGTGAGACATAAAGATAAAACCTGTGAGACTTTCTTCCCTCTGTGAGAAACAAAACAAGCAAGGCCATTTTTCACACAATGCATTTGGAGGTGATTTTATGCGTCGGTCCCTTTTCATTAAAACCACTTGAAAAAAAAGCCCTAAAAATGAAGTCAGATGAGTTTGCAATGATATGAGCAAGAGTAAATGATAACAAACTGTCATTTTTGGCAACTATACTGTTAAATTGTAAACATTTTTGCAGTGTAAATAAAAAAAATCTGTGCACAAACTGCATGCTATGCTCCTGAGGATATAAGCCTCCCATATGCTGCGAGGAAGAAATAAGAGGGAAATAACCAGGTGAGAGTTTTCTAAATTAGATAGAGTGGCTTTTGCTAAGCTGTAGGTGGATGAAGGATTTCCATCCATTTACCAGCTCAAAGGCAAACTCCAAGATGAGTTTAAAGAAAGAAAAAAAGAAAAAAGGCACACATCACTGGACTCGTTCATTACTAACAGGCTAGTTTTCAAAAAATTAGGCCCAGTGTTTTCTGAGTGGGCATCAAAGCTCAATAATTTGTGCTTGAGGCCAGAATGTTATTGCGACATTATTTGGGCTACGCCAAATCATTTACCAGAGAGAGCAGGTATTTACGCATGTTCAAAGCAATGGGCTGAGTGGGCATGAATGTGCCACGCTTGCCTCAGAGGATGACGACGGTGGATAATCAGTGACCGTGAGCAGAAGCAGCCTCTGATTCCCATTTAGTATCGACTCTCTCGTTCTCCTTTCTGACTGCTGAAGCTCTTTAGTCATGGTTGTTTAAATTTGAGAGCCACAGCTTGGGGGTTCGTTGCCTCCCACACCGGCCCTCTGTCTCTCAGTAATATACAGCTTGAAAAGAGAATAACGGTTCATTTAATTGGAGCTGCATGCTAACATTATGACAAGTGAGATGTGTGAATTAGAAAATAGGTGATAATGTCGCATGGTAGACAAAGGATGTTTATCTAGCAGACAGGCACAGTTAAGTCCAAGTTTATGAAAAATACATGCTTTCGATATATGTAAAAGAAGTTTTGGATATTTTTATGCAAAAGGCAAAAATATGAATTCTGTTCTGGTACATGCAAAATAGATGAAAATATCTAAATTATGCATCTGTTGTCTTGATAAAGCAGCTCATTATAAATCATTAGCCATAGCAGAACTGTTGTCCATCTCTGAGAAACACAGTAAGTACCACGAGAGTGATTAGAGAGCAGGCGGCTCTGTATGGTTTTGAATTGCTCTTGCAGTACTTTGATGTCATACACCAATCGGTCTGTGCAGCGCCAATTCAAGTCAGAGTTTCTTTTCTGATTGAATTAACGTATTGAGCGAATCAATCGAGTGAACCAATGATTCAATGGCCAATTCGTAAAAATAACCAAACCAATAATAAAAACATTGTTTATCCGCACTCTACCATGTCAAGAGGGTGTTAAAGTACAACTCGCGTAAAGTTGATAATTCCATGAATGACTGCACTTGCAGATTTCGAACAGAGATGGCGACAAAGAGGAAAAGCTGCGGACTGCAGATTTACCACAATAATGATTTGAAATAATCTTTGGGGGTAATTTCACAGCTAAATTTGATGTGCGGTTAATTAGATGAATTCATTGGACCATCATGTAATTAATTAGATTTTAAAAATGTAATCGCCTGTCAGCCCTACCTAATACAGGTTGATAGCCGTTGCAACTTTTCCAGCGGTCTCCCCTGACAGAACACCACTATTTGATGTATTATTAGAATGATATGTTTCTCGAGATGCATCAGGGTCGTTCATCCTTCACCACAGTCAGTCTAATCTCTGGGATAATAGCGCTGTGGGTCTTAAAACATAACACTACTATTAAAGGATAACTGTGAATAATTGTGGATTTATATCTTTGTGAATAAATGTGGATTAATTAGAACAGACACTGCTGGGACAGCTCAATCCATTCAATGAATGCTGAATAAGAATAATTTGTATACTTATTAAGGATGCCCAGATAATGTAATGCATATTAATACATTTCCGACACAGAGGAGTAAGGTCAGTGTGATGGGCAATGGATAAAAACCTTGAGTATGAATAGAGTCATCGTTTACAAAAGATATTTTAAAGAAAAAAACATTATGGTTTTGGATGTGCTAATATTTTTCTTCTGTTGTCTAAAGTTTTGAAGCCTTTTTTTTAATTATTTAACACAATATCTAATAGTTTTGTAATAATATTTAAATCTTTTAATATCATTTGTAATAGATTTAAAATGCCTGTAAATGTTTTATGGTAATATAAATGTTTAGTAGCCCTCAATCGGGTCGAGGGGTCTTTACGACCCCAATCGACTTTTATTTAATAAAAAAAAGGTTCCCTTCAACTCAGTGTAATAAGATTTTGTGACTTTTCATACATTATCTATCTACACACACACACACACACAAAAAACTGGGCTTGATTCGGTTGTTCTGAAGGTATGTAAAAAAATTTTTACACTTCTGGTCTTCGGGGTCAATATGACCCCACATTAAAATAAATGGGAAATGTGAAAAAAAAAAATATATATATTTTTTTTATGTGTCAAAAAAAAAAATCCGGTATAAATTTGAACATTTTTACACAGAAATGAAGGCCTAGTACTAGAGCATAAATGCAATGTATCATAAAAAAATATTTTATATGCAAGCTAATGGTGTAGTTGAGGAATTGTGTGGTATATGGATACAAAAGTACTTTATATCTCCAAAAACACAGGATTAATGAATAGATGAGAAGTAAACAAAAAAATGATATATTATTTGTATGATTAAAAATGTATATTTTTTGTACAATTACTCAATCAATTGTTGGGGTCGTATAGCCCCCGAAGCCCAGAAGTGTAAAAAGGAAACGAAGACCATTTGAAGGTTAAAACCAAAACATGCCAGAGATTTTTGTAGTAGTCTGGAAAAAATAAAATAAAATAAAAAAATCCCTTACTACCTGTAAGTACAGATTACAAAAAAGAAAAAAGATACTTTTGTACTGCTAGTCAGCGTTCTTGTCATCAACCAAACAGAAGCTATATAAAAGAAGCACTGAGAGACTCTTGTAGGAACAAAAGAAACTCATTGTAGAATAGAAAGTAAAAAAAACAATTTTGGACAAGCAATCTCCTAGTAACAAGAGACCTCAAGTGTGCCATGGGAATTTAAATCAATGCAGCTGAACACGGATTCAAACCCACAGAGAACAGTCTTTGGGGAGTTGTCCTTGACAATGCAGAGATACACATAGAGAAAGACAGTCCATTTTCACAGCAGTTAAAATATTCCTTATGAGACTCATACATACCAAGTCCTCAAGATTGACGTGACACTTGTGCTCGCACAGAAGCTGAACTATCGCAGAGTTTCCGCTGGCAGCTAAAGAGAGAACAGATAATAAGAAGCAGTTCTTTATCCCCACAGACACACAAACAAGGGTTTAACAGCATGCCAACAAACTCTTTAAAGAGTAATTACTATGAACACTGCAAGCTTTCCCACAGAGACCAAAACCCGGCTCATAGTGTGCGACGCCACCTATTTCCCAACAAATATTAGCGCCCCATTTAAAAATCACACCCTGTTTCTCAACCAATCACTGCCATTATTCTCAAGCAGCGGACTGGCTTAAATGCAGTTTCTCTGCTTTGTAGTCTGTATGAAACCATGTTTTGCTTAAAACATCCTGCCGGCAGACTTCTGACCTCCAGGTGGCTGCAAGCTCTTTGCTCTTCGAGGCCGATCCCACCCCGGTTAAATCCCTCGCAGATGGCAAAAAGGCTCAATTAACAACAACAAACAATATCAGTTTTTTTTTCCTCACTGTCTTCTATACAGACAGGGGAGCAACTTTTTTTTATTTGCTAGGGAGCAATTTTGTGAACAAAGTCTATCCACAAATAAAAACATGCTTTTCTTTGGGTTTGCCCTCACTACCTGGCAATTTGGAGCAAACAGTCGGCAATGACATGCCATTCTGTGCTTGGGAGTGGAATAAAGGTGCTGTGGGGTTAATGTTGAAAACATTTGCACCAAGTAAAAAGAAGTGAAAGAAGACAAAATATACTGAAGATTAAGTCTGTTGCTCGTCCTTGAAAGGCTCCTGAGTTGAGCAGTAATAACAGAATAATCTTTAAAACAAGGCCATTTTGCACCTCACCTGCATGATGAAGAGCCATCTTCCCTGAGCTGTCAGGTGCATCCACCACACACTTGGCCTGTAGAATAAATCACATTAGACTATTGCTTCTAACACATTATCTAAAACCACCATGACATGTTCTTCCCAGAAAGCACTGCTAGACACCAATTACAACCTTTCAATCAAAACAGCTATGCTTTTGGGTGCAAGTTAATGATTTGCGCTCCTATTAAACATTTAGCAGCATGTCAGGCCAGTGTTCATGGACGAACAGGCACAAGGCATTTATTTGACAGGCATCATCCGAGAAGAGGTGTAATATATTAAACCTGACTGACTGCAGTAGCCAATCAGACCTAAAAATGTGCCTAATGTGGATGTCTTATTACTGACTGCCAGCTATTAACCCTCAAGTTCCTTCTGCTACTATAATGTAAATGAGATTCCACATGTCCCTCTTAAATCCTTCAATAACTTGTCTTGTATGCCTAGATAAAACTCCAAAGCTTATTTTAATTAGAAAAGGTCAATGACTTGTTTTTGTCATTAGAAATGACTAGAAATTCAATCAACAAGAAAGTTTTGTTTTAATTTTCAGGGAACATTTCATCAGACTCATTAGAACATGTTGTGTTTGGGAAGCCAGGCGAAGAGTTTTAGTTTAGGACTTCTGGGTGAAACTAAATTATTTTCTGTTTCACAGGAGGACAATTAATTCAATGATGAACACCTGGAGGGGAATTTATCAATATATTTGATGAATATATAATGCATATATTTGCAAGGCTTTCAACAGTTAAACAACCTCATTCAAAACTTGTAGAACACATTTAAGATAATGTTCACACCCCTGAAAAGTTTGGGTTGTTGGTGCAATATTTAAAATATATTTGAAAGAAATATGCATGCACACCAATGCTGCATTTATTTGATAAAAAAAAAATTAAACACTGTGAAATATTATAATTCAAAAGAGCTATTTTAATATTTTGTAAAATGTAATTTTGCAAGCTGAATTTTAAAAATCATTACTCCAGTCTTCAGTGTCACATATTCAGAAATTATTAGAATTTGCGGATTCTGTGCATAAGAAACATTTCTAATTATTTTCACATGTTGCACAATATTTTTGTGGAAACCATGTATATGAAGAGTTCGGATGCAAATGCTGATCACTTTTATCAAGCTTGTATATTTAAGTTCAGTATTTTCACTTAAGTGACAATTCATAGGTAATCTTCATTGCCATTTAAGTGAAATGACTGAACGTAAATATACAAGCTTGATAAATATTATCATTCTAGAAGAAAATTTCAAATGGCACTTAGAGGCTTTTGCATCTGAACTCTTCATATATGTTTAGGATTTTGTGATAAGATGAATAAGAAGTTTCATCTTATCCAAAGAACAGCATTTATCAGAAATATAAATATTTAGTCAATTATTGTATATTAAATGTGCTTAATCTTGATTTATTTATTTATGCATACTTGCTAAATAAAAGAATTAAAACGATTGACAGTGTTGGGTCAGCCACTTCAAAATCTCAGGTTACCCCTTGATTTTAGCCGGGTTCTAGGTATCTGAAGGAGATATACTCGATATTCCATATACCAAATATATACTCGAATTAATTAAAAAGTGTACCATCCTTGTAGTAATCAAACATGTTTGTTGTCGTAATGTTGACAGTGGTGCACACAAAGGTAGTAGCTATTCCCTGCTCTGGTGCGGTTCACAAGATTACACTACATGCATACCGCGCCCATGCCCAAATCTTCAAGCGGGGCAAGGCACGGTTGAGCATATTGCGCCTGTGCATGGCACAAAGTGATCACACTAGTCAAATGAACCAGACTTGGGGTCAAGCGTGCTGCAGCAAGGTTCCGATTGCCTAGAGTTTGTACACCCTTAATCCATACTGGCAAAGCCAATTCTGACACCTATTAGTGAACACAGCTGACAGGCCCTGGATATTTCAGATCTGTGCAGCTCAAGTAGAATTACATGGAGTGGAGAATGAATCACCCATGATGATAAAAGAGACGCTAGAGAAGGTGCCTCAGCAGACTGAGGGGAGTCTTGGAACATGCCAACCTGCCCACACACAAATCCAAACATGCAACACTCTCCAAGCTCACAGAGGGAGGCCGTGGGCTTTGCTAGTTTACGAAACTGCAGGAACAAAATCTGCTATTTTTGTTTAGCTGGCACACAGCATGCCAAGAGAATGGCTGTAATTCCCATTAGCATCCACTCCATCTTTGTGTATACATCAAAATCTCAGTCTGTAATACACAGTCACTTGAAAATATTACCTGAAGCAACTTTTTGGCACACTCAGGATGGTTGTTTTTGGCAGCAAGGTGTAAAGCAGTAAACCCTGATGTGGAGAGAAGGAAACAAGACTTGTTATTAACATTCACAAATGTACACTTCCGTAACATATAAGTAATGCAAGAAAACATGTTGATCTAGTTGTAAACAACCTGAAGCGTCCTGCAGAGAAACATCAGCCCCGTAAGTCAGGATGACAGCAAGGCACTCGGCTTGACCTTGTGTGGCTGCTACATGCAGACTGAGAAAGAAAGGGGGGAAAAGTGTCATTAACATGTCATTTTAGTTGCAGATTAGCCACGCCACTCACACTTGGTCAGTTTTTGTGTCATGTATAACTTGCCTGTAACCTGTATGCAGTAAATAGAGGGCTTTTTAATTTAAAAGGTAGGTCAATGGCATGCTCTATCTATATGCTTGCCCTAGGGCAATTGTAAAGCACTCTAGTGCAAATGAGTGTCACTAGATCAATCCTTTTCATTCTGTGTAGCAAGTCAGGCACAATCTTCTTTAAAGGGGTCATTTGAAGCAAAATTCTCTTGTATATGGTGATGCATATACTGTAAATGTGTATTGCAGTGTGTGGACACAACCACCACACAATGAAAAAATCCATTCCATCCATATCCCTTAATAAACAGCTTCCATTGAAACCCACTGGTTTGATATCTACCATCTTATTATTAATTGGCTCTCAAGAGGACAAACTTCAGCAAAAACACAAATTAATCTATATGAAATTGATTAAACTCTTCTGGGGGATAAGGATCAAGATGCAATCTCTTTTGGGCAATAATAAAGCTAACAACTAATATGCAAGATGCCCAGATAATAACTTTGATGATTATGTTACTTGTGATAACATGGTTCTGACCTTTAAATGAACAAACCAAGAACTTTAAATATGACAATTTAAGAACAATAAATAATAATAATAATCATAATACATTTTATTTAATGTGAGTCACCCTATAAAAATTCATAAAAAAAACAATAAACAATCAATCCAGTACAGCAACAGACATTAAATCACATAAAAAACTGCCTAAACAGATACGTTTTAAGTCGAGAAGTTGCGAAATTCTACAGTAAGAGAGTTAAATGGGGGTTCGAGTGTGTGGCAGAACAAGAGTAAATGCAGAGGCAGATATTACAGTGCAGGAAGAACATGTATATGAAGAAGATCTTGAAGATATGGAGGAGACAAATTGTTCAGTGCTTTGTAAGTTAAAAGTAAAATTTTAAAACTACACAGAATTTAACTGGGAGCCAATGCAACTTCCGTAAAACAAGAGAAATGTGTTGGAAAATGGATGTTTTGGTAATGACTCTAGCTGCAGCAATTTGTACCAACTGTAATTTATGAAGAGATTTGGAAGGAAGCCAAAAATAAAGCATTACAATAGTCTATTCTTGATGTAACAAGAGCTTGCACAAGTGTGGCAGTACTCTTGAGTGCAAGGACAAGACGCAGATGATTTATACTGCGAATATGGAAGAATGCACAACGGGTAACACTATTTATGTGAGATTCAAAAGACAGAGTTGTGTCAAGAATGACACCCAAACTTTTAACCTGATTCGACAGAGGAACAGTACACTTATCTAAATAACTTGTATTTTTTGAACCAAACAGAAGTATTTTAGAAAATTACTTGAAAACCATTTTTTAAATTCACTTAGGCACTCAAAAACAGCAGAGGAGGGAAACTTTGAAGAATGTTTAGGAGACAGGTAAAGTAAAAAAAAAAAATAAAAAAAATTGAAACCTTACAAGTGGAGTTAACACTGCAAAGTGAAAAGCACGAAAAATGCGACCAAGCACAACCGCTTGGAAATATCACTCTAATGCTATTAAAGGTCAGTTCACAAAAAAAACAAAAAACACTCTTTTTGGTAGAATTAAAGCAACACACACATCATAGTAATGTTTGAAACACTACATTTAAAAGGATGGTTAAAAGTGCCAAATGTAACTTTTTTCTAAAACGAATTCCTTTTTTAATGCCTGTGTGTGAAGGAGTTGTAATCACACATGATCCACTTGTAGGGTTTTGATATTACCTCTGAAGGCCACTATTGCTATTTTTATGTGAAGTCTCCGGGTCGGATTTTCTGCGAAATCCATGGGATATGATATGCATGCGCGCTCCCGAGCCTCTCTCCTTTTATATACAGTCTATGCGACGGCACTGCAGCTGACGACATGAGTCTGATAACACCCAAAAAACTCCTGCCTCCAGCACAACACAGACTCCAACACAAACTCCACAAAAATAGAAAAAAAACAAAACGTAACAAAAATCTCAGTTTTTGCTGAAGCTCGTCAAGCCAAACGTGAATCGAATCGACTTAGGACGAAAACACAGATCAACGTCGACAGAGCGCTTGAATTACGGAGAGACCTCCGCTATTTTTATTGTGATAAATTACAAGTTTTCAGATATGCTGAAATAATGGTAAACTGTAATGAAATAGCAAGGTAAACTACAACATACATGAGACATGAAATTAACACAGGATAACAAAAAGTAGGTGCTTTAGAATGTAACTTTTATTTTATGAACTAGATCTACTGTCTAACGTCACTCATCCCACTACGATCATATTGTTTACAATACACATTTCAAGACACGTTCAGTACAGTAATGTTACTTCCTACGATCTTACTGTTACACTGAAATGAGCATTGAGCATTAGTTCAGTCAAGCTGATAAAGGTAGCCTATTACTGTAACATTGCAGTGGGAGTTTCCAGCATGTTGTGTGATGCATTCTCTGGTGTGTTGAAAGTCTCAGTGTGGCCGTGCACCATGAGTCCTCGCGCTCTTGTGTTCGAGCACATGCAAGAGCACGAGCGCTCTTGTAAAAAAAAAAGGTTGCAATCTGAAACATCGCAGATAAAGGCCACTAAAAAATCCATACAGCACCTTTAACACTAAAGTGACAATTCTGTCACCATTTTTGTGTTCCACAGAAAAAAAGTCAGTCATTCCCCTAGGCTATATGACTTTCTTTTCCCTAACACAAAAGATGATATTTTGAAGAATGTTGGTAAAAATTTGGTTACCCTTGACTTCTTTTGTATTGACAAAAAAAAAATCAAGTCTTATAGATTTTAAAAAACAAAAGATGGGTAATATATGATGACTTAAGTGAACTTAAATATGCTTATTTAAGCTGTCTTTAAAAAAATATGAAAAACTTCCTTGCATACAATTATGGAGCATAATCACATGGTTTCCTTAGGTTTTATTAAAGTCAATTAAAAGTTTAGTCACTCTGCATTCTCCACAAAACAGATTCTGCTTCTTTTAACCCCGAAAGAGATAACATTTGCTGCTGCATTTCTCCCGTGTTTTGTAATTAATATTATCAAGTGTTCTCTCACAGTGCTTTTCAAGGTAAATGACATGGTCACCAGAGCATATGATTACCAAAACACGTTGGACTCATGTCCGACTCCTTTATTATAAGGAAATTATATCTCCATGGCAACTGTGACCGCTTGGAAATACAGCAAGGCTTTGTGTTCTACATGCGCCTCTCTGGCCTGTAAAACCCTCTGGAGCGCAAGCACACGAACACAATGGACTTCTCAAATAAGATAAGGATTTATTGTGAGCCTATGAGAAGAACACTTCGGCTCAAGCCGCCCTAACGCAGGACACTACAGACTCATTCAGGTCGGCAGTGTCCGAGTTCATTACTTGCAGAGTGAAGAGAGAAAGCTCATCTCTCTGCATTCTCTGGAGCTCATTCATCCATCTCATCATTCATCACTTGTCTATCTCTGATGTGCTGCTCAAAGGAATGTTGCTATACTTTCTTTATAGCTGATATTTTAAAGTTTGTGTGTGTTATAATTACATTTAACTGCATCTAACATTAGAGAGAGTATTCTTCTCATACATTTTATGACACATTCTGCGAACTTGCTCAGACTATTCTAGCAACCACCTAGCAAACCTAGTCATGGCCAAGTCCAACTAAAAAGGCTTTTATTGGCAAAATCATTCAATATATGGAAAGAGCATTGATCCTTCTTCATAACCTCCACAATTTGCTCTGGGATGCTAGATATCAGCTTCTGAGCCAAATCCTGACTGATGGCAATCCATTGTTGCCTTATTAGTGCTTGGAGTTGATCACAACTTGTCTTTTAAGGATTGACCACAGGTTCTCTATGGGATTAAAATCCACCTTGTCATGGATCCAAAATTTCAATGTAAAGGTACCGAAACACTTCAAAGTGAAATCGAAAAACAAACTGAAAATCAGGTCAAAAGTAACTTCGTTTGGAGTTCGAAACTGCTTGCCAAAGTGAACTTTCCAGAAAAGTTTGCTACGGCTATAGTCAACACCTTTGTAATACCATTGATCTGTGGCGATTATGTAATTGGTAGGTGTGTGCGGAGGCTCAGTCTTCTTTAACGTGGAAATCTTTTCCAGTTTATTTCTGCTGTTCAGTGGGTCGAGGTTAGACGTCCACGAGTGAAAACATGAACACAATGGAGGAGCTGCTTTATAGTAGAAAATTAAATGGCACATCTGATGAAATAAGACACTGGCTCTGTTTTTCAAGTTTAATATGGTAAAGCTGCTTGATTTTAAGCAATCTATTGAATAAAGTGCTATATAAATAAATGTGACATGACTTTACTAGAGTGCGGAATCGCAGAGCTTGAGCAAACATATCCACGTTGCAATGATCAGATGCTGTCTTTATGCTTTGTTAAAAACAGGCTTGCGGTTTCATCAATTTTGTTGCGTTTATTTTGTTACTGAGAGGAAAGTGCACAGCACATGTTTATATATTCATCTAAAAGCTGCTCTTAGCAGTGTGAGCAGTGTAAAGTGTTTGCTTGCAGTATATTACGGCAAACAAATTTCGTTTTACCCCTAAGCAAAGAATGAAAAAGAACCTTACCGTGAGTACATCAGCGGACCCCACTTTGAGAACCACTGCATTAACATACAGACTTCCAGTGTTGGGAAGAATACTTTCAAAACGTATTTCGTTACAGAATACATGTCCAAAAATGCCATTTGTAACGCATTCTGTTACATTACTCAATCTGAGAGAATACTTGGATTACTTCCAAATTGAATTGCCTTTCATAAGTCTAAGAATGTGGCCATCAAATCCTGCTTACTAAACAGGCCACAAATAACATGTAAGGGTGGCGCTGCCAATAAAGGACCGGCTGTTACAAAGAACCGGCAAAAGTAAGGATTATGAATATGTAAAATAAAGCAAGGAGATATTTTAATTGTTTATTGATAAATAAGTATTTTCTTTGTCATTGTCGGCTGTTCACTTTAAAGTAAGGTTTTGTGCTTTCTGTTTGATGTCTCTGTGGTTTTCGCAGTGTAATTCACAGAATTACTATAATAAATTTTGCCATCTAAAAGTTAAACATTGTTTTGTGTCACGCATATTTATTTCCCTCACATTAAATATAAACTGCATGTGCAGACAGATATTTTTCTAATATCTGGACTCCTTTATTAAGGGAGTATAGATATATAAACAGACATTTCAATATATTGGTATTAAATGCATTTTCTGAGAATTTATATTTCAAGTTTTGACTGCAAATGTCACATCCATAACGCTGGAATTGCCCAATTTTAAAGAATTTATCTTAAACTAGTTTTGTGTGGTGTAGTGTAGGTCTATCTATTTTGTAACGTTAACTTCAAAGAATAGCCTACTAATAGTAATTTGAAGATGAGGTAGCATTGGATCTGGACGGGAAGGATAACCAGGAGTTGGAAGGGGCGTGTTGCGATTCTGCCTTCTCACAGGTTTGTGGATCTGAGTGTCACGATTTTGGGTTCATATCGCATATCATTTTTAGCCCTGGTAGCTAGCTGATACAGCTAAAAAATAGCAAGGTGTTTCATACAAATTGCATCCAAATTGCGAGCACATTGTGGGGGGCGGCTTGAAGCACTATGCGGGCCGTATATTGCCCATGTAGTCTAGAGTCAATGTGACTTAAAACCACAACAAACAAACTTTGTGAAACACCAAAATTATTTCACTGGCAAAACCTTTGGCCACAACTATAGTTAAAATATTTTGTTAAGATTTTTAAATTCTTTATGGTGGATTTAAACTTGCTGTTATTCCTACAAACACAACAAATCTGTCCACATCATTTCAAAACATATTTCCCCCGAAAATGTAGACACAAGCATGTAATTACACAGGTTCAGGCTCCAATTTAAAAAAAATGTATTTATAATATCTCTGCCAAGACAGCGAAACAAAGCATTCAAACCTCTTTGAACTAGTAGAACATATATTTAAATGTCCTTTATATGACTTCCAAAGCATCAGAAAAGCTGAGCTCTGACATCAGAAGGTTTTTACAGGAGGTTTTACAGTCATTGTTGGTTCAAATATGCCTCACACATGATTTTAAAACTGGATGACTAGCATAAACAAATCAAGCATTCACATCTGAAGATCTCTGTGCCTATGGTAAATACGGGAAAATGAAGACTGATGTAAATGCTATGAAACAAAATGCTGATAGGATGAATGACGGACTAAATTAGTTTGAGTGGGGGTTAGATAATAATTTCTACTGCTAAATAAACACCCTGAAAAATGAATGCAAAAAAACACAAATCTCTCCCTCAAATGGAGTATAAACACCCTCATGCAAACTATTTCATAAGCACATCTCAAAAAAAGTCTATAAACACTTCTGATGTCACAATTAGAGCAGTCAATGTCTAAATCAAACAGGAAAGAGAGCAACCTCAGTGTCCAGTACTCACGCAGACTTCCCCTCACTGTCAAGCTTGGTGGGACAGGCTCCTTTCTTCGACAGGAGAGTGGTGACTTTATCTGCCTCTCCATGCTCCACTGCACTGAGGAGACGCTCATCGTTCTTGTTCCATTCATGGACCTAAAGAAATTTTGAAAACATTTAAAAACAGCTCACAGATAAAGCACTGCAAGATCAGATTGACAAAGACTATTGAAACTTTCGACAATATGTGTGTAACCTATTAGGTCCAAAGGATGACAAAGGTAGATATAAATCAAAGTTCAGTTCGTTAAACAAAGGAAATAGGAAACTCTAAGATAGCAAAAGCAACTTACCAGCATGTGTAACACGCATACACAAACAAAACCAAACAATGAATGAGATCTTAAAAGGAACTTAAATACAGAGGTTAATTATGAACAGAATACAAACGAGTGTGATTGATAGTGAATGTCCTTGGTCACAAATGTTGGCAGGAAAATAGAAGAAAGGGCAACACGTGACTGAAGAGAAACAGTCCATGAAAGTCCATGAAAATGAAACTAAACAGATATTATTATTAGACATAATATTATCTATACAAAGTTTTAGGATTTTGATAAATTTAAAAATATCTAAATAATATTTTCACTATTTCTAGGTCACTAAATCAAATTTAATAACAACCTTGAGCTCAAGGTCTGATATTAAAGGGAGATAAAAATATTATTGAGATTTGTGTGAAACAATTGATAAATTATTGATTGCTAGTAAAATAATTCGTAGTGCTGGGCATTAATTTGGACTCACTCTTGATTCCATTCCAAAATCAATTAATTTGAAATTTATACATATACATATATATATATATATATATATATATATATATATATATATATATATATATATATATATATATATATCAGTTACAGAACTGGTACATTTTTCTCAAATGTAAATGATACAGGGTTATGTTATGTTTCATTGTGTTTTTGTTCATGTTCCTATGTTTCCTTTCAATTTAGTTCAGTTCTCATTTCTATAATTAATACATTCTCCTTGGGATCACACATCAACAGAAAACAGCACAGACTAAAAGATCATTTTTATGTTCTTCTAAAAGATCCATTCAAACTGAGAAATCGATATTGTCAGCCCAGCCCTGATAATTTGTAATGAGAAAAAATATATATTATACTGTATGTGATGGCATTTTACATTTTAAAGACAAAGATTTTTCTGGTGGTCTCAGAATTTGGGCTCTACTGTATGTAGCCTCGAACTATCACAGTAACAAGGGACTTACAATAATAATAATAAAAAAAACCCAGAAATGTGCATCTTTGTAAGCGTTCTCACAAAGCCATATCTTTACACCACAAAAAAGGGTTTATGGGAGCTGTTAAAACACCACTGTTTTTTTTTTTTTCACTTTAATAGATGAAGCCAATTTGGTCTTGTAACTGTGAAATAAAATTTTTATTTTATATAAAGAGCAAATTGTTCCAAGTTCAGGATTAACATCAGCTAACAGCATATTTTTTCTCTCTCTTTAAAATATAATAATGGCAATCAATCAGCTTTCTCCATTTGTCTTCATCCATGACCTTTGAAAAATGTATACTTATAATTCAAACTCAGAGTGTTGCTTTTACACACTCAAAGAGAGGTTGAGCGGAGAAAGTCTAAAAGAGAGATTGGATCAATCACAGAAGCTGCTGTTAGTATGACTAAAAGGGGAGTAAAAGAAAAAGACACTAAAATAACCGAAAAGGACTAAAAGTAATGCCTCCTTCAAATTTCGAGCATGAAAAAATGAATGATGCAATGACACCACAAGCTACAGGATCAGTCTTTGTGGCTGAATGAAGTTATCTTATTGAAATGAGGGCTGGCAATGCATATTATCAAACAAGAAAAATGCATTGGAAATCATTTGCACAGGCTGCTCCAGACATTTACTCTATATCATTGCATTGTGGAATTGTTGTGCTAATAGTTAATTTATATGCTGACAATTGCAGATCTATACAAAGGAACAATTTCACCTGCAATTTCACCTGCAATTAAGAGGCATCTCAAGGAAAATGAACCGCCTGTGGCATGAATCACATTATTTCCCAACAGTTCTTCTGAAACCTCTCAGAAACCACAGGAACTGATTTCGTAACAAGGGCATATTCACAACTGAGATTCAACTGCAGACAAATCTAGTTAAAATGTGTCTTTGCCGTTGTGCATAGCAGTGAAACCATGCCCAATTGCTGAACATTGCAAAACAGAGCATCTGTTTGAAGACCTCTTTAAAATTATAAATGCAAGACAATAAATAATTCTTAGAAGTCAGTCCACAGATAAAGAGTTCTGAACAAACCAAAATTCAATTGCTCTAAATGTAATCTAAGCAGTGAGCTGAAAGCAGACCGCAGAGGTCAGTTGGGGAAACACAGAGGCCACAACTTAAGTCTGTCACTATTTTTAAAATGCAGTGTAATATTACACAAGCCACAGTAAGCCCAGCACTATTTTGGGAGCTGTTTGACTTTAGCCTACTATCTGCAATGAGCTGAGCTGATGCTATTTAAAGTCAACTCATGAAACAAAAGAACATCTTTTGTAAATAAAAAAAAAAAAAAAAAAAAAAAAGGACATTTGTAATGAATTAGCCTCCTGGCCTGCCCAGGGTGCTCAAACATTAACACACATACAAATATGTGTGGGTCTTTAACATTCCCTCTGATGCTGGAGAAAAATCAGAATACATGATGTTCTTTCTATTTAGTAAGAACAATTACAGAAAATCTAGTTTAAAATGTGTGGTTCTTATTTATGTACTATTATATTGGTCTCAAATGGTTTTGAAAAAAAAAAGTAATTTTCAAGAAAAGTTAATTTATTCAATATATTTTACAAGATAAAACCATTTAATGTCAAAAATTTGGGGGGAGTCGAACCACATGACATTTTGCAAACTGAAATAACAAAAAAAAAAAAAGTGTATACATTAGGGGTGTAACAGTTCCTGGTTATAAACAAAAACAAAAATTGTATCCGAACCATACCATTCCTCTCCCAGAAGGCAGAGCTGGGCCCTCATTAAATTATGGAAAAACTGTTAAAAAATAAATAAAATAGGCATCTTTTGTGGGGAAAAAAAATCTAATATTTGAGTTCCATTTGTTTTCTTCCTAATTGCCCTTGAAGGTCAAGGCCTTCGAAATGTCCTAAACAAATATTTTAAAAAAGGTGGTGACGGTGAAGCTGGAACGCAAGTAAAGTCAGCGTAGAGCAAGGTAAGAAATGGCGCAGCCAACGTTTATGAGTGTTGTCAAAGACCCGGTACTTCGGTACCAAGTCGGTACTAATTTTTTTTAAACTTCACGCCACGGTACCAGGTTTTCTCAAACCCAGTACTTGATGCGCATGCATCCCCGAAGCGCGTGCAGTTGCGTCCTCTTCATAAAAGTGCTGAGACATTACGGCCAGCTATGCAGCTGATGTGGTGGCTGTAAATCCAATTGTTGATAAGAAAGGAGGAAGGAGCCACATATGGAAATATTTTGGATATTAGCTCATAATAGTGACGCGGTGCACTCGTTTTTTACAGGCGCGCAAGGTTATTGTTGCACAGCAACGACAGACACCACGGGAGAGCAAGCGCTTGTGGAGAAAGCGGTGTGAACTGCGCTCTCCATGATGATGAGGAAGAATTAGCAAATAATTCACTGATTTCTAGCCCTTGCATTATATATTTATGGAGATGAGAAATAAAAAGCCGGATGAAATGCATCGCTGTCGGCATATAATGGGCCAGATCCGAGTCTATTTTTGCTGTGCTGCACATGCTTAATTAAAAGTGAAAGCACACTTTTGATGGACAAAAAAATAATATGATTTCACACAAAAAGTGGCCAAAATACACAGATTTTGTCTACTGTGTTTTAACAACTGCAGTAGGCTATGTCAGAAAAGAAAAGGAAGACATTTATAGAAAATATACCCATTTAAACGTGTTTTTATTATTCAGTTTGACTGGGGGAGGGGGGGGGGGGCAAGGGGAACAGGAGATATGCGTATGGTATGTTATGCGCGCAGTATGTTCTATCTCGCTCTAGATTCCGGGAGATTTTAACTAATTTGCGGCCATCAGGGAGACGCTATCAATATGCTGGAGACTTACGGAACTTCCGGGAGACTTGGGATGTCTGTAACTTTAAACAGTCAAATTATGTCTAAGTGACAGCAGTCTAATATTCCTGCTGCTGTCTGTGTCTTTTGTTGTTTGATCAACATTAAACAATACTCGGTATCAGCTCCGATACTGCCATTCTTGGCCCGGAGTGGGTATCGGTCAGACGAGGCCGATCCAAATCTGATATTGCGCGTATACTATTCTGTTATTGTTAAGCCCCACAAAAGCATTATAAAGCACCAAAAAGTTTTTGTGCACTCTATTATAAGTGTCCTGAAGCCATTCTATAGTATAATGTGAGATAGAAATACATATTTGAGTCACTAAATTCAAGATCACATAAACTCTTCCCTTCACTGCTGCTGTCAGTCATTCTCCATTCAGCATTCAAACAGCACGTCACGTTCGGTTTCTTGGTATCGGATCGGTTCTGAAAAAAAAACCGGTATCGGTGCATCCCTAATTAAAAACAAAGAAATCCCTCACAGCCCCTGACTGTTTGTAACTTGAATATGGATTAATCTTTATTTAATTTATATAGTGAGGATTAAATGCAGTGTTATTTTACATTTGATTCCTTGATCAATTTCTGTACCTGAAACCTACAGTAAGACCTAGCAGAATAAAATAACACTTATTGTCTTTGTATATTTCCTGTATTTTATTTATTTGTGCTATTGCTTGTAATTTAATTAATTGTTCTTTTTTTTATTTGACAGTAGTTCTTTTTTCCCTTGACATAGCTCATATCGAACTGTATCGAAAACCCATGACCCTAAAACATGATACAAACTGAACAGTGAGCAATTTGAACTGTTACTCCAGCCTTCAGTGTCACATGATCCTTCATAAAGGAATCTTTGACAAATAGAAAGTTCACAAGAACAGCATTCATTTGAAATAAAAAAAATTATCAGAATGTAAGAGTCTTTATGATCAATTTAAAAGCATCCTTTCTTGCTGGGTA